ACCCCCGACTGTTTCCCAACAGCAGCTCCTTCCAGCCAGGAACACACCCCCCCCCTTTCCCCTGGTTTTAACCCAGAGAAATAATCCCTGGCATCCGAGGAACAGCCCTGTGCGTGCCAGCCCGGAGAAACCTCCTCACACCATTCCCCTCCCAGCTGTCTCCTCCGAGCTTCCCTCTCCCTGCCAGCTGTCCTCCTGCCAGAGCTAAATTTGGGAGAAATCCCTGGATTTATTTATTTTTTTTTTAAATTCTGCTCCCTGGCTCCCTTGTCCCACGGATGGGTGAGATCCCTGCTGGGGGTGGAGATCTCCATGGGGTGTGGAGCCTCAACTGACGTGGAGAAGCTCCAGTTGGGCTCTGGCAGCGATCCCGTGGTCCGGAATGCTCCTTCCCGAGCTGGTGGTGGCCTTTGGAGGAGTCAAATTCTCCTTCTGCCACAAGGTGACCCCCCCCCTGCCCTTAGTGGGGGAGGGAGAGGCCATGGATGTTGTTTACCTCCTCAGATCTGGTTGATTCGTTCACCCAGAGCAGGTTGGATTCATCCAGGGAGGGGTTTGAACGTCTCCAGAGAAGGAGACCCTCCCACGTCTCTGGGCAGCCTCTTCCAGGGCTCTGCCACCCTCAAAGTCAAGAAGTTCCTCCTCGTGTTGAGATGGAACTTTTTACGTCCCAGTTTGTGCCTGTTTCCTCTTGTCCTGTCACTGGGCACCACTGGAAAGAGTCCGGCTCCATCCTCCTGACCCCCACCCTTGATGAGATCCCTCCTCAGCCTTCTCTTCTCCAGACCAAAAAGCCCCAAGTCCCTCAGCCTTTCCTCATCAGAGTGATGCTTCAGGCTTGGAAAAGGACCTGGGGGTGTTGGTCACCAACTGGCTGAAGATGAGCCAACAGCCTGCCCAGGTGGCCAAGAAGGCCACCAGCATCCTGGCCTGTGTCAGGAAGAGTGTGGCCAGCAGGACTGGGGCGGTGATGGGCCCCCTGGACTGGGCAGTGGGGAGGCCCCATCTCGAGGGTCTGGGTCCAGTTTTGGGTCCCCTTATGACAAAAAAAGGACATTGAGGGGCTGGAGTGAGTCCAGAGAAGGGCAACAGAGCTGGTGAGGGGTCTGGAGAAGAAGGAGAAGGGGCTGGAGAAGAAGGAGAAGGGGCTGGAGAAGAAGGAGAGGGTCTGGAGAACCAAGGAGAAAGGGCTGGAGATCAATGAGAAGGGGCTGGAGATGAAGTCTCTCTCGAGGAGCAGCTGAGGGAGCTGGAATAGGACGAGAGGAAACCACCTCAAGTTGTTCCAGGGGAGGTTTAAGTTGGAGATGAGGGAAAATTCCTTCCAAAAGGGTTGTTGAGCACTGGATGAGGCTGCCCAGGGCAGGGATGGAGTCACCATATCCCTGGAGGGACCTCTCTGTGGTGCTTGAGGACACACGGTGCAGTGTTTGGGTTCATGGCTGGACTTGAGGATCAAGGTCTTTTCTGCCCAAAAGGATTCTCGAGCTCAGCCCTTTGGAGGTGCCCACCTCCAAATTCTTCTGATGCAGCACGAGATACCGCTGCTCGGGGGACTTTTGCCTCCCTGAACCCCTGTCTCTTCTTCTCCCCAAGGTATTTCTTCCCCCGCCAGCTCCTCATCCGTTACTTCTGGACCCCCAACCAGCAGGTCGAGTTCCTGGACGCCTACGACTCCATCAGGAGGGGCTCCTACCCCCACGTGGTGGAGAGCATCGCCCTGGCAGCACCTTCCCTGCCAGAGCCCCACCTCCAGAAGCTCCTGCAGGAGCTCTGCGCCGAGGTAAGGTCACCTCAACCCCTCCTTGGGGGGACGGGGGGGTGACCAACCAACCAACCAACCCCCCCAGGAGGTGTCAGCAGCACGTCCTCTGCCTCTTCCAGGTGCAGCGAGGTTGCCAGCCCCGCGTGGCCGAGCTCTACGCCATGAGGAACGTCTTTTCGGGGCCTCCCTTGGCTCTCAACAAGCTCCAGGTGGCTCACGTGGTGAGTGAGGCTGGTCCCCCCCACCAGCAGCTCTCCTACAACCGGGTCTTGAGGGGCTCCTCTGTTCCCTTGTGCCCCAAACGGAGGGTGGGGACCTAAAATCAGGCTGGTTGTGGATGGAAAAACTGACCATGAGCCAGCAGTGTGCGTTGGTAGCCCAGAAAGCCCCCCACCCCCTGGGCTGCACCCCCAGCCCCATGGCCAACAGGGCAAGGGGGGGGGATTTTGTCCATGGAGGAGATCCCCACCCTGGTGCTGCCTCCAGCTCTGGGGCCACCAACATCAGAAGGACACGGAGCTGTTGGAGCGGGGCCAGAGGAGGCCCCGGAGATGCTGGGAGGGCTGGAGCCCCTCTGCTGGGAGGGGGGCTGAGAGAGTTGGGGGGGTTCAGCCTGGAGAAGAGAAGGCTCCGGGGAGACCTTGGAGCCCCTTCCAGTCCCTCAAGGGGCTCCAGCAAAGCTGGGGAGGGACTCTGGATCAGGGAGGGGAGTGATGGGATGAGGGGGAAGGGTTTTAAACCAAAAATTAGGAGATTTGGGTGAGATCTGGGGAAGATGTTGTTTGGTGTGAGGGTGGTGAGAGCCTGGCCCAGGTTGGCCAGAGAAGCTGTGGCTGCCCCATCCCTGGAGGGGTTCAAGGCCAGGTTGGAGGGGGCTTGGGGCAACCTGGGCTGGTGGGAGGTGGCCCTGCCCAGAGCAGGGGGTGGCACTCAATGATCTTTAAGGTCCCTTCCACCCAAACCAGTCAGTGATTTTGTGAAGACAGCCCTGGAAGGAGACCCTTTGTCCGTCTCTGCTGTATCTCCCTGGGGCCATCGGCCACCCCTGACCCGTCCCCACCCACCGGGACCTGCCCAGAAGGTCTCCATCCAGCCCAGGATGGAGCTGGTTCCTCCAGACACCTCTCCCTTGTCCCGCTCATGGGGCTGGGTGTAACGAGAACGAGCAGGAGCAGCTCCAGGTTTCAGCGTGGGCAGGACAATTAGTCAGCTAATTAGAAGGCGAGCGAAATCTGGGGCACGTCTGGAGTGGGAGGGGCTTCATCTGATTTCAGTTGGGTCCCAATGGGTCAGACACCCCATTTTTGGAAGGGTTGGACCCTCCTGGGTGATGACTCTGCCTTTCTTTTCTCCATCCCTCCACCCCAGAAAGCCCTGAGCCGGGTCTTGTTCCTCACCCCTCATTTGCCAGCTTTTCTCCTGAGGCATCGCCTGAGGAGCCACGTCCTGGAGATCCGTCACCTGGACCGGGCTCTGCTGCGCCTGGGCTTGGGCCAACTCTCTGAGGAGGAGCTGAAAGCGGTGAGGAAACCTCCCCAACCTCTTTTACCCCACAGGGGGTTCACTTCAACCCTCCCCATCCTCCCCAGAGCCTCCTCGGGGGGCACATCCCTTCCCCCTCCAGACCCTGCTGCAGGTGGATCCTCAAAAAGCATTTTCTGAGCCCGTTTTCCACCCTGGGAGAGCCCCGGGACCCCTTTCACAGAATCCATCACAGAATCTTCATGGTTGGAAGGGACCTTTGAGATCATAGAGTTCAAACACAAAAAAACCCAACCCAAAACCCAAAAAAGCCCCAACAAAACCGCACAAACAGCCACAAGCCATCCCTGGAGGTGTTCAAAAGCCGGGTTGATGTAGTGCTGGGAGGTCTGGTTTAGTGATGATGCTCCTTGTTTGTTGTGTGGGTGTCTATTTTTGTCAGTTAGGTTGATGGTTGGACAAGATGATCTTTAAGGTCCCTTCCAACCTAGAAGATTCTGTGATTCTGTGAACCCAACAATCTCGGGCACTAGAACGTGCCCTGAAGAGCCACCTCTACACGTTTCTTCAATCCCTCCAGTGATGGTGACTCCACCACCTCCCTGGGCAGGCTCTTCCAGGGCCTGACCACCCTCTCAGGAAAGTCATTCTTCCCAAGATCTCATCTAAACCTCCCCTGCCCCAGCTTCAGACTGTTTCCTCTGCTCCTGGCATTATTCCCTTGGGAGAAGAGGCCAACGCCCACCTCTCTACACCCTCCTTCCAGGGAGTTGAGAGGGCCATGAGGTCTCCCCTCAGCCTCCTCCAAAGAGTTCCCTCAGCCTCTCCTCGTGTGACTTGTTCTCCAGACCCCTCCCCAGTTTGGTGGCTCTCTGGACACGCTCCAGCACCTCAGTGTCCTTCCTGACAGGACAAGAGGAAACGAACACAAACTGGGACAGAAGAAGTTCCACCTAAACATGAGGAGGAACTTCTTGAGTTTGAGGGTGGCAGAGCCCTGGAAGAGGCTGCCCAGAGAGGTGGTGGGGTCTCCATCTCTGGAGACAGTCAAACCCACCTGGATGAATCCAACCTGCTCTGTGTGGGACCTGCTCTGGCCAAAGAGGGGGTTGGAGGAGATGATCTCCAGAGGTCCCTTCCCACCCCATGTCATTCTGTGAAAGGCTGAGAGAGCTGAGACTCTTCAGCCTGGAGAAGAGAAGGCTGAGGGGGGACCTTAGTGGTGCTGCCAAGGATCTAAAGGGTGGGTTGAGGGAGGATGGAGCTGGACTCTTTCCAGTGGTTCCCAGTGACAGGACGAGGGGCAACGGGCACAAGCTGGACCATGGGAAGTTCCACTCCAATGTGAGGAAGAACTTCTTTGGGGTGAGGGTGGCAGAGCCCTGGCAGAGGCTGCCCAGGGAGGGTGTGGAGTCCCCTTCTCTGGAGATCTCCAAGCCCCACCTGGATGCTTCTGAGTGATGTGCTCTGGGCAACCCTGCTTTGGCCGGGGAGTTGGACTGGATGATCTCTAGAAGGTCCCTTCCAACTCCGACAATTCCCTGATTCCATGAGAAGGTGGCTCACACGGTTGCAGAAGAAGATCCAGTTGGTTGAGCAGGACCTCCCCTTCCCCAAACCCCAGCTGGCGGCTGCCCTTTGGTTGTCCCTCAGCCCGGCAGCGCCGTTCCTGGTGGGATTCCCCATCTCCTCACCTTCTCCAGATGTTTTTTCTCCCCTTTTCTTCTCAGGCTTGTTACCTCCGTGGCCTGAATTCCACCCACTTGGGCACGGCTGAGTGCCGAGCGTGGCTGGAGCAGTGGCTGGGACTCTCCTGCAAGCTCCAAGGTACAGGGGGGGGGACACCAAAGAAGGTGTGTGGGGGGACCGTCTTGAGACCCCCATGGAGAAGGGGGGTCATTTCTGGGGGAATTTCTGGAAGTGGCTTTTTCCCCTCCCAGCCCCGAGAGGAGGAGGTGGTGGAGTGGAAATGTCTCTGGAGATGTGTGTCCCCCCAAAAGGACGGGGACAGAGACCTCGTGGTGGCAGATTCCAGCCCCGGGGGGAGCGGGAGGGAAGGGGGGGGACCCAAAATGGAGCAAATTCCGCCCCCCCCCCAACCCCGGGGGCTCTCAATCCTCTCCGGAATTTTTGGTTTCCAGCCTCGGAAGCGTCTCTCCTGGCCAACAGCATGGTCCTGCTCTCCCTCAACTACCTCCGGGCCAAGGCCTGAGGGCCCCGCACCCACACCCCTGCTGGACGCCCGCTTTTTGGGGGGGCTGCAGAGCCACCGACCCCTCCCCGACCCCCCCGTTTTTGGGTTTTTGGGGGGACACACACACGACGCGAAGCTGCGCTTCCCTCCCAGGTTCGTGCTGGCGCTGGCTCTTTTCCTCCCCGCGCTGCCATGGGAGAGAGAGGGCTCCGTGGGGCTGGAGACGCCGTGGGGCTGTAGGCTGCTGTGACACTGGAGATGCTGTGGGGCTGAGGATGCTGTGGGGATGGGAAAGCCTTGGGGAGGGGGACACTGTGGGGATGGGGATGCCATGGGGATTGGGACACTGGGGCTGGGGACTCTGTGGGGCTGTGGATGTTGTAGGGCTGTGGACACCGTGGGGCTGGAGATGCCATGGGGCTGAGGATGTTGTAGGGCTGTGGACGCCATGGGGATGGGGACTCTGTGGGGATGGGGACTCTGTGGGGCTGGGGATGTTGTAGGGCTGTGGACACTGTGGGGCTGGGGATCCTGTAGGACTGGGGACGCCGTGGGGCTGAGGACACTGTGACACTGGGGACGCCATGGGGATGGAGATGTTGTAGGGTTGGGGACGCTGTGGGGCTGGGGATGCTGTGTGGCTGGGGACACCAGGGGGCTGGGGACGCCATGGGGCGGGGGACACTGTGGGTCCCAGTTTCCCCGTTGGGTCCCACCGGGATCCTTGGGGGGGGGCCTGAGTGCTTTTGGGGCCCAGATTCCC